TTCGTTAAAATATATTTTATAAGACGGTCCCTTAACATCTAAATCAATGCTAGTTATGTTGCGTCTCTGCCTAGAGGCTTTAATAATTTCGTCCCTTTTTGATCGACGCAACAGACGAACGACGACAGGTCGTGAGAATTTGCTTTCAGAGTCGTGGTCTGATTGTTTTACCAAAAATGCACGTTGCGGTCCAACACGCGCCACCCAATCAATATCTAAATCAGCCAAATCTATTCCAATCTTGCGGGATGCTACCAAGACAGTGTGAGTTAGATTTTCATTTTTGTTTTCTGGGATGCCAATTATTTCCAATTCGTTTGATAATTGTTTCTGAGCCATCATATTAAGATTTTTTTTAATATGACTTACTGCATCTTTTAGTGGATGGATATCGGCCTGTTGTTGTTCAACAGAAGCTAGGCGAGTGTTCGTTGAGGCCATGGTGTTACCGAGTTCATCTAAACGCTCGTGACAGCGAGTTAATGATGTCATTGCTTCGTCGAGTTTATACTTAAGCGATGAGATTTCGTGAGTTAATAGCTTAATTTCAGTTGTCAATTCACTGATTTCTAAGTTAGATAGCTCAGTCGAAGTCTTTGGGTTCGATTTATTACGCACAGTGACATTTTGTGAGTAGTTTGTTACCCGTGTTAAATTCATAAGCAAGCACTAGTAACAAAACAGCATAATAGATTGAAATGCCAAGAAATTATGTGGAGCAGAACAAAGTGATTGCAGGTTTTTATTCATTATGTGGAATTAGACAAGTGATTGGGGCAATTGATTGCCACATATTCGAATTCCAAAAGTGGCTAGAAACATCGGACAATACTACATAAACAGGAATAGATGCAGTTAAATAAATGTACAAGAAAGTGTTATAGCACCTAGCTAGCCCATCTTTGTCATATAGGTACATAGTTATTTTCTTAGATTCAATACAATCACCTAAATCTATTATTACATATTAAAGAAGTTATGAGTGCTTTGTTCCAGGTTGTGTCAAATGCTAATTTAGAGATCATGGATATAGTGGCCCATTGGCGAGGCAGCACACATGACTCAAGAATATTTAATGAAAGTCGCATTACAACAAACGTTTGAGTAGTCAGAATTTAAAGGCAGAAGTCCCGGAGATTCTGGTTATGCTTGTACTCCTTATTTATTTACTCCTATCCTGCGTCCTAATACACAAAAGGAAGAAATGTACAACCGATCGCACACCAGGGCCCAAAACACTGTAGAACCATGTTTTGGAGGAAAGCAAAGGTTGCGGTGTTTACTGCGAGAACTAAATACTAAATAAGAGCATACAAAACGATGTACATTGCAATGCAAAACCATGATCTGCTTGAAGATGTAGTATAAGGAGACGATGAAAATATACTAGTCACACAATTAATTAATAACTCCCTAAAAAGGAAAATCTGTTCGAGCAGCATTTATTATATTTTTTTTAAATAAATATACAATAATTACATGTACAATTTTATTTATCCCCAAAAAACAAAACAAAAATGGTCATTTAATTAATTTTGAAAACCCTTCACGCTCTTTTCTTAATTCTAAAATTTCGTTACAATTAATATTAAGAGTGATTATATTTAGAACTTGTTTTTCCAACGAGTCCGAAAACAACACGAGGAACAAGGAACAAAACGTAACATGTATCTCAGGTCAAACTCAAAATATTGCCTGTCATTGTCATTAATGTCATCATCAAGCATTGAGTTCATTCAACAATCATTCACTGACTCACTCTTTTTACTTTTAAAATAAGTGGGTTGCCATAGCGCAAGCGTAAGGAATGTATTGTTAGTCCGAGGTTACTCCATGCTCTTTTTACTTTTAAAATAAGTGGGTTGCCATAGCGCAAGCGTAAGGAATGTATTGTTAGTCCGAGGTTACTCCAGGTTTATTAATAACATTGTCATGACGAAGTAAATACTCAGTAACTCTGAGATTAACTAGTCCAGGTTTACTTCGAATTAAGCTTGGGATAAGCATTTTTTATTAATAAGGCTTAATAGGTATAATAATTATGGCTTCTCTATTAGGTACAAGTTTCGAGTGACAGTGTAGTGTGCCACTCATTTTGGACTGCAGCCTGGAATCATATACGACATCCAACTAGCGAACAGGAAAATGCGCCAATTAGTCATGGGCATGTATACATCAGCTGTGGCAAGTCACTTTTGAGAATAAGATCACACACTTTGTTTGGGTCTGATTCTCCACGTGAGGAACTCATAAGAAAAATCAAGAAATGAAATTGCCCATCAAATTGCACCACGCGAGGTAAGTGTTCAACATTTTTGATTTATTAACTGTGGTGCTCAGATCTTATAGTGATACATGTTTTATTCTGATTGCATTCGCACAAGCTATATCTGACAAACATACAAACATACAATATTTTTAAGATGGTGATAAGATTAGTAAGCCAACACCAGGTAGTCACGAGATTGCTACCATTCTTATCAACTACCAAGTAATGAGACAATTGATTTTTCATCGTTTTTGGACTACTGGTGGTTTTTAAGCCCTTAATTATTAAATAATATAGGGCATTAAGTCCGCTTTTGTGCAGTAAAATTTAACTTGATAAATATTTTATTTATATTTGAGTTTAAAGGAAACAAATCTACTTTATTTTTATTTAGTTCACTTTTTCACTTTAGTGTTTAATATTATTTCAGTTTCCATAGTCATCTCGTGTGTGTCATAATTGCTGGCGAAGGACTGATAGAGCAGCATCACATTCAACTGCAGAACGGGGACCATCCGAATCATCTAGTCCGTCCTCGTTGCAATCTAAAGTGAGTAATGTATTGAACCTAGAACAACAAAGCTTAAATCATACATAACACAGTATACTGCTGCCTAATTATGTTAGAGTACCACTAACACAAAATCAATGTTTTTTCTTGGTTGTAACGACTCCAATGGACTCATTGTTTCATCAGCGTTGCAGGTACGTCTTTTTTGCGATTACAATTACTATATATGTACCTCCAAAATGTAGAATATGTAACTACCATTTAAACAGTAGCTCTTGGGATTTACTTTTAGAATCAATATATAATTAAAACATTTAGTGCAGCACAAATTGAAGATTTTGTTACATTATTGAAAGATAATATGCACAATCACATAGACTGAAAATATTGACAGTAGCCTGAGCACACTGTACATTATTATCTAGGCTTATCAAAGGCACAATACCAACAAACTCTGTCTGTAGTTCCGAGACTGTCAAGTAAACATAGAGATTGTTTTGCACTTGCTGAATATTTTATGAAGTTAAGAACAGGAAATAGTGACGAACGCAAGTTGGCATTATTGCAAGTGCCAAGAAGCACATTAGAGCGGCTTATAAATATGGCCCGCGAAATAATAAATCAGGATTTTGTTCCTACAAATTTGGACATAAATCATATATCCCGAGCTGAAATAGCTCAAAGAAATCTTCTCATCCCAAATGGACTTCATGGTGGAGAAAATAGGAGACCTGTCATATTTGCCGATGGTACATATATATATATATACATAGAAAAAGTTCAATTATTTATATCAGAAGAAACTTACTCATTACACAAATATAGCAATCTTATAAAGCCTTTCCTTTTTGTGTGTAGTGATGGTTACATCATAGATATTTTAGGCCCTTATCCTGCTACAACCTTTTGTTCAAATGGTGAATCTCAGTTAACGACAAGAGATGCTAATAAGTCCAGAGCCGTGACTATGTGTCGATGGGTAGTTGAGGTAATGAATGGCATTTTTAAAACACAATGGATTTTATCCACCGTTACCACTCCGTACTAAATTCCATTCAGTGATTATGATATTATATTAGAGGCAAATAATTCCTTAGCATTCCTAGATGTGTTAGTCATCCGAAATCCTATCAACACTATAGGTCACACTGTATATAGAAAAAAGACCCATACAAACCCTTATTTAAACGATGAATCTCACCATCATCCGTCACAGTTAGCTACTGTGGGCAAATCTTTGTTACAGACAGCACGCGGGATCTGTGACAGTAAACACCTGGCCGTCAAGCTTCAGCACGTCAAGCAAGTTCTGCAGGAAAACAAGCTTCGGGCACCGCGCCTACGTCACAGTGACCGAGTGAAGCCGGCCACAGTCGAACGTGTGCTTGCTGTACTACCATATGTCAGGGGTATTACAGACAAGATTGGCTACATCTTGAAGCGAGCTTCTATTAAAACATTCAACAAGCTGCTGAAGAAGATTAGTCAGTTCTGACCATCTGTCAAGTGTCATATTCCTCTACAAGATGTAGAAGTATACAAGCTTGATTGTGAATGTGGTTTCTCATATATAGGGCAAACAAAAATTTCAATTAGAACCCGTATAAAGGAACATAAAGCTGACGAGAAGCATCAAAGTTCCGAGAAGTCTTCAGTTTGTGATCATATCCTAGACGGCCTAAACCAGATAGATATACATCAGATTTGATATACCACAAATCTTCGCGAAAGAACATCGATTCCTACCAAGGATGACACGTGAGGATAATAAAATTAAAAAACATCCTAATTTTAATTACTAATTTTAATCCTATTTCTATTTCTATTTCTATAAAAGTAAACCCAAACATACCACTGCAAGATTTCATGACACAGTAAGTTCGTTCTGCGTAGATCGGACCATAAAAAATAATTAAAAAGCTGAAGGTACTCCAAGTTAACACTGACTTAGGGACGTCAGTCACCTCAGTCCCCCATGACCATGGGTGCTGGAAAGCACCGGAAACGTCGGGAATTAAAAATCAAAGAAATTAAACGCGGTAAAATCTTTTATATCTTAAGAATCCGGACGTTTTTTGAACCAATTTCTTAACCATTTCATTATTTTAATTGCATATTATCATATCTATATGCTTTTATATGTGGGCACCCATAGCCGAATTGTCTATAAAGATTGGGCATTCACCTTCTACTACGACCCACATAAGGTGAAGCAGGGAAATGACATCGTATACTGTGGAACAAATAGACGAGTACCTCGGAGCTGCGATTGACAAGCTCCATGGAACTCCGAACCCAGAAGTCATTCATCAAGGCGTTACTGTACCAGTGCAAATGGCGGCTGGAGCCACCACCCGGGGCAAGACAAGGAGAGCATCCAAAGAAGGGACATCCGCACCAAAGCGCGCTAAGCCCAGGCAAAGGAAGACAAAAGCAATAAGTGAGGAAGACTCCGACGCGGAACGCTTATCCGAGGAGCCACCTCCTCCTCCATCTCCCAACCCTCCCCCGTCTGCCCGGCACAAGGAGCCAGGCGATCAGCTTTACATATCCATTGTTTATTCGCTCCTGATGGAGGTAAAGGATAATCAGAACAAAATGATGAACATGATGCATGCATTAACAGAACGTATGGACAAAGGCAAATAACGCATAACATGAACCTCAGAAAAGAAAGCCTTCAGAAGGCCAGTATGCTTGGATTGACCTTCTTGTAATCTTTATGTAGAAATAGTCTTCTCCTAGTTATTAGTATTATATTTTTGATTCTTTTTGAATTTCCCTAATTTCTGAATTTTTGGATTTTTTGAATTTTTTGAATTTTTTGAGCTTTTTGAATTTTTGACTTATAAAACCCCTAGCATTCCGACCTTTATCTAACAATTAGGAATCTCTTTGCTTGAGAACCATCTTAGGAAAAGGAAAGATAAGCCGCATACCACACGATATAAGAAAACGCGTGCATGAAATTCTGAATGAAGAAGTTCCAGGACCATCACCAAAACAGCCAAGAAAGCCTCTGAGATATTCTTTCTGTCTTAAAAACGACGACAGGAAGACCCTGAATGGCTGCTTTAAATCTGAACCTGCTATATGCAAAGAACATGCCAAAATAGTAATGATTTAGGTGACGAATCATCTCACTCAAATAACTTACTGTGATTGTAATAACTAGTTATATATGTTAAGACAGTTCTCTTGATTTAATTAATAAGCAAAATGATAACGTTATTATTTCCAAAATATTTTTGTTGGATTTTTTATAGCAACTAATTGGAAATTCGTAGATTATATGGAGAAGTTTTACGGTTGTGATTTTTTTATTAACCCTCTCTCTCTGTCTCTGTCTCTTTCACGTTTACCGTCGGATCGCCGCTAACATATGAACCAACTCAGTAGCCATTGAGACCTCGTAGGACACAGTTGCGTCAGTGCTGCCATTTTGTTGTAACGGAGAGGTTGCACGTCATTTTGACGTATAACTGAGTTTTGTGTAACTTTTGAAATTGTTTAAAAATTTTTATTTTTGTGATTTATTTGAGTTAATCGTATTGTTTCGTTACATTTCTCATATTATAGTATTAATATTTTCAGGTTGAATACTTTTGTATCAGTCCGTAGTTTTGTATGGAAACCCGTCAACAGCTAAACCAGGACGAAATAGCTAATAATTTTAGAATTGGGCATATATAAATAATTTTAGAATATGATGACGATTATTCTCCCCTGAATTCGGACTCCGAAGAAGTAGATCGTGTAGTTGAAGATGATGTCTGGAGTGATAACGAGGACGCGATGGCCGACTTCGTTGAAGATACAAGCAGGCAAGAGGACCCCGATAACAATATTGCTTCTCTGGAATCGCCTAATCTTGAGGTAACTTCATTGACTTTACACAGAATAATTAGTTTGCCTCAGCGGTCAATACGTGGAAAAAACAACCACGTATGGTCAACTACAAAGGCACGTACGACGGGAAGGACTTCTGCTATCAATATTATACGCACAAATAGGGGACTAACGCGAATGTACAGACGAGATAATTCATGAAATAGTCAAGTGGACAAACGTCGAGATGATAGCAAGCTACAGGGATACAAATACAATGGAGATCTGGGCGTTAGTCGGAATTCTCACTCTGACGGCTGTTATGAAAGATAGCATCCTCTCAACTGATGAGTTGTTTGACGCTACATTCTCTGGCACCAGATATGTATCAGTAATGAGCCGAGAGAGATTTGAATTCCTAATAAGATGTTTGAGAATGGACGATAAAACACTGCGACTAACTCTTCATAGCGATGATGCTTTTTTACCGGCGAGAAAAATATGGGAGATTTTTATCAATCAATGCAGACAAAACTACGTTCCTGGCAGTAACTTGACTGTAGATGAGCAATTGTTGGATTTTCGCGGCCGTTGTCCATTCCGGATGTATATTCCTAATAAACCTGATAAATATGGCATAAAATTCTCCATGATGTGTGGCGCTGCCAAAAACAAAGTACACGATAGATGCCATACCTTACCTTGGTAAAAGTACGAAAACAAATGGTTTACCACCGAGCGAGTTTTATGTAAAAGAGCTGACTAAAACAGTACACGGCACAAATAGAAATGTTACCTGCGACAACTGGTTCACGTCTATCCCATTAGCCAAGAACATGTTCCAGGCTCCATACAACCTAACAACAGTAGGAACCATCAGGTCTAACAAAAGAGAAATACCTGAAGAGATCAAGAATTCTCGCTCACGGCCGGTAGGAACCTCAATGTTTTGCTTTGATGGCCCTTTGACCTTGGTTTCCTATAAACCTAAGCCGTCGAAAATGGTATTTTTATTGTCTTTCTGTGATGAAAATGCCGTTATCAATGAAAGTAACGGAAAAATCGGACAAGATATTGTTTTATAATCAAACAAAAGGCGGTGTTGATTCCTTTGATCAGATGTGTAAGTCTATGTCTGCTAACAGGAAGACTAATAGGTGGCCGATGGCGGTCTTTTACGGGATGTTGAATATGGCGTTTGTGAACTCCTATATAATATACTGTCACAATAAGATAAATAAACAAGAAAAACCAATGAGCTGCAAAAAATTTATGAAAAAATTAAGCACAGATCTGAAGACACCTTGGATGCAAGAACGACTACAAGCACCTACTTTGAAGAGGACTCTACGCGACAATATAACAAATGTTTTAAAAAATGTGGTACCGCCATCTCCGGAAAATATTAGTGATGAGCCAGAACCAAAGAAACGACGCTATTGTGGATTTTGTTCATATAAAAAAGGCGTATGACCAAAGCGCAGTGTTGCAAATGCAAAAAGGCTATATGTGGAGAACACAATACTGATGTTTGTCAAGACTGTATATAAAGACTGTTTTTTTCTAAGAGACTTATAAAGTATTATTACAAGTTGATTTAATTTCATGAAAACATTTAAAACTAGTTGATTTTTTTATAATTACATAATTTTAAGAAAAAGTGTTAAGAGGCTTGATTTTTTTGATTTGAAGATGAGATTTGAATATTTGATTAAAGTGCCATAATTGTATTAATAAAGAGTATTTTTAACTTGAAATGTATTTTATTTATTAATTAAAACTTCAATCATGATAACTCATACAAAAATATATTTCATTAACAGAAAAAAAATAGAAAAACCCTGAAGTTTTATTTTCATACGTCATTTTTACGTATGATTGGGCTTTATACTAGTTAAATATGATTGGGCTTCTAGGGTTAATAAATGTTTATTTTTATACATTTTCGTGTTTCATTTATTCACTTAATATCATACCATAACTAAAAAAAATCACATAAACTTATTTAACTTCATTTACACACAAACTAGAGACAGTCTTTTGGGGTTATTTTAACCTTAAATACAGGTGAGGAGTACTTTTCACCTTGTACACCGCAAGCAAGCGTGCGTTGCGTTGCAACAATGCGTTAGCAATTTCCTCGTCAGCAAAGGAGCAGGATAATGAAAATAACGACACCCAGGAAGAAATTTTCGAATAAATAGCTATTATAGTATGTAGGTTTAGTAGTAGGTGTTTGTGATTCTAAACTAAATATAAGTAAGATTAGGTTTTGTGTTATATAGGTGTGAAGTTTTATTATTGCTTGATTTATATTAAGTGATAAGTATATAAATATAAATATGTATAATATGTCCCTGACTACAAAGAATTATGTTAAAAATCCCTAACTCCATCGTTTTTGCGATGAGTCTCAAATTTTAAATGCTCATACCAGGCTTAATGATTAAGATAAATATTTTTTTTAAAACGTCACATTAAAGGTAAAAATGAATCAAATAAACGACGGTTTTATATATTTCTTTTTTTTTAATTCAGCCATGCCTTTTTAAAAACGATTTTTGCACTTCATAGAAGAAAATTATAAATTAGATATAAAAAATAACTCTTCAAAAAGGATGACACACGACAACTGCAATGAACGATTCACAAACATATACTGAATGAAAAAACAGGGTTTATGCAAACATTTATAACTACCACCGTCTTGACTCAAAAACCAAAATAAAAACTGTAAGCTCATAACGATTTTGAACAAGAAAAGATATTGTCGACTATAATAATATTTACACTGGTTTTTAGCAAAATATTGAAAATTTGTCAAATAATAAAACCATAGCCATGGTTTACACTTTTAGTAATAAAACAAAAAATAAACCTGCAAAAAGATTAAACAAATTGAAAAGTGCTGAAGAAATTTCAATGAGCGTACACAGTGATATACATTTACGTGACGTCGATCTTGAACAAATTGAAAATTTAAACATTATTGACTTCGAAAAGACCTCGACAGATCTAGATATTTTTGATCTTGAAGATGATCAGGTGGTAAAGAGAAAGAATGATAAGAGGGAAGCTGAAATATTTAATGACGTTATACGTATAGACTCAGAGATTGACATAAATAACAAAACAGAAATTAAGACGAACTTGATTTGAAGATGGATACTCAGAACCCCTTCCGAGAATTGAAGTAACAGATGAGGACTAGACTGAAGAACAATTACAAATTGAACAAGAATTTCAGTCTGAAAATGAAGTCGAACTGTTTAATACACAATATTGAAAACAGAGAATGGAACACAGGAGATTATGTCCTAGTTAGATATTACCAGAAAAAAGGTGGCAATACTACATCTGCTTAATTACTGACATTAATGATCGAATTGAAAAAAATACAAAATATCCTACTTAATACTAAACCATTCCAAAAAAAGGTGATATCTTAAGAAACCAAAACGTCCCCCGTGACCATGGGTGCTGGAAAGCGCCCGAAACGTCGGGAATTAAAAATAATAGTAAAATAAACGCGATAAAATCCGTAAAAGTAGTTTTAATCAATGTGTAGTGTTCGCGTAAATATAAGAAATCATTATGTAAACCAAAACGTTTAGGTGTAGATTATATACCTGATAATATAATTGTAAAGCAAGTAGATTTGTTACAAATTAAAGAAAATAATGAATTTATCTTGTTTAATAATGAAGATTTATCATATTTTTGATTGACTTTTAAAGATGTATAACGTGGTAGAGCCATGCTGCAGCTATATTATGGTTGTAATACGAATGGGTCGGCTCGACCAGGGAAGGACCACGCTCTCATAGAATACGAGCGTAAATTAGCAGATTGATACTGCTGTTACGTATGGTGAGTATGTAGAGCTCCGGAGGTCCTTTTTTACTGGAAATGAGGCATTCTATCGTCTACCGTAGGGTGACAACACATCTGCGGTTTGATTCTTAATCGGGGCATCTACATTTGATTCTTATGTAGATGTCTATTAGCACCACTGACCTTTATATATACATACTTGCATATATAGAGGTCAGTGTACAGCACCGACTTACCACCAGGTAGAATGTGTGCTGGTTTGTCATCCTCATTCTCTGAAAAAATATCATAAGTTAATATTTTTACCTACTTAATATTTTATAAAGATCTCATTGTTTATGTTTTCTTTTAGTTCTCCCTTAAATTTTCCAAATATTGCCTTAAATACTTATATAATTGTAAGAAGACAATAACTTCAGATTCCAAATAGCCATAAGTGGCACTTCGCTTCGACTTTTTACTTAAAATTAAACTAAAAACATATATTATAATGAAAGACTATATACTATTCTATTGTTCCAAATGTCGCAAGACTTGTTTAACACTACAGCGCGTGGTGTGCCATACGTGGAACATATGAAAAATATGCCAAAATTTTTGTGACAGATTACTTTCAACGCCATCTATCTCATAGTAACAATACTATACAAAATGATACATTTAGTTACCATTATTTGTCTTATATACTACTAGCCTGCCAGGCAGACGTTGTTCTGCCCTTTTCTACGACCCTGTCATGTCCTATTAAGAATCCTTAAATTCGCAAAAAATAAATTGTGGTTACTCATGGGCAAAAAAAAAACTATCCTATCTCTCAAATTGGACCAAACTGCACACGGTGTGCAAATTTCATTAAAATCGGTAAAGTAGTTTAGGAGCCTATCGCGGACAAACAACGTGACACGTAATTTATATAAATTAAGATAATCCACAAAACGGCATATTTTCGCATATCTCACTTAAGTAGCAACCATGGAGGTTAGAGAGAAGGAGAATGTCCGTGGAATTTTTATATGTTTTGTTCTTATTTTAATTGTTTAAATAATTGTAAAGAATAAAAAAGACAGATGTCACAAATAAGTAATCAAAATATTATTCCTGTAATTTTGACAAAACATGTCATCGCTAACGTATTGCAAAAATGTAAATTGCTTTATTAACTTTTTTGTTTTTTAAAGGAACCGTTTCAAACGTAGCATTGACGCATGCGCAGTACGGGTACGTACTGGGCATGCGTCAATGCGCTTGAAAGCGTATGTATTGTGACTGTCAAATTATAGCAAATATAATTTGGAATAAAATAATATTGCGAATATGAATTGAAATGTAAGCTATCCTATCTCTCAAGTTGGACTAAACTGCACACGTTGTGCAAATTTGATCAAAATCGGTTAACACTTTAATTGCCGAGCTAATTTATACTTACTAAATCACCCTGACTACAAAAACAACACAAAAAAACTACAAGCATGGAGGGATATCCAGAGAGAGTTAAACGAAGAAGGTAAGTATAATTATTTATTATTTACAAGGTATACGTATCAATTTTTTTGCCATTTGGGCCATTTGGTATATAAATAGTATATTATGCTCTGATATATATATATATATATATATATATATATATATATATATTGTACACGATTTTTTTATTTTTTATTATGTGCTTATTTTGGAAATTATAAGGGTTTTTTTGTTTGCGGTCACCGGTGGCCGTCGCGGCGTACAGATTTGTTTCACAGCGCCGCGCGGGTCATTTCGCCGGTCGCCTGTCTCTTTCTCACCCCTTTCTCTGATTGGCGGGACGGAGCGGCTAGCATGATCGCGCGCAGCGTTGCGATCGATACGGAAATTGTCGTAATATACGGCATTCCACGATTTTTTTAAAGATTATACGGCATACGGCAGGCTTTTCATTGCCGTATCAAGTATTACGGCAATTCAGCTTTGCGATAAACCGCGATGGCAAATTATGAACAAAAAATATAAATACCTGTATTGATATCCATATTTTTTTCACTTTCGTCATCCCGTCATAGACAACCACACTATTTATTAAGTGATAATAAAGAGTGTGGTTGTCTATTACGGGAAATTACCGTTCCATCTTTTATTTTATGAGACTAACAAGGCTGGCATGACCATGACACATGGTAGACATTGATAGAAGTAATGAATGTAAGAGATACACATATTTACTTTGTTTATATTATTGAATGAATGTACAACATTATGAACTATAGGATGTGTACGGTACTTTTGTAGTATTTACTCTGGCAGTAAATTAAACTTGGATCCAATTTGGCTTTGTTGGAATGGCTGCACTTTCTACAAAAAGCTTGAACTCTTACTTCAAAACACGCGAAAAGGACAAAGACGTTATAGTTGTTTTCCGTCATTGTCGCCACTGGCCCAGCAATTGCCACGAATTATGAGAGAATCAGATAAGCAACGAATTGATGACGAGTGGAGGTTACTACCAAATGCAAACAAAATTTCAGAATTAGAAAGGAAAACATGAATTTTGGGCAAATGTCCAAGATACTACAGATTGCAAAATATTAGCAAATTTTGCTTTAGACGTATTATGTCTATCTACAACATAGCAATGCAGATTGCGAAAGAGTTTTCAGTGAAGTAATCAATATGAAAACAAAATCCAGAAATAATTTGATAACATCCACTGTCAACGGATCTCTATTAGAAAGACAAGCGGTTAAAAATCAAGGAGGTTGTACAAAATTTCAAATGTCAAATGATATGTGTAAGAAATTGAAAAGCAAAGAAAAATATTAATCACATAGACAAACGAGTGATGTTTTCAATCAATCAGAAACCTACATGGTTTAGAAATTTCAGATTTTATGTGATTTATTTAATTATTCGTAGAAATACTTTACGTCAATTTCGTAGATTTTTTTCATAAATACGGCAATTTTCGTTTTTAGATACGGCAACTCAATTTTTTACAGTCGCAACGCTGATCGCGCGTGACCATGGTTTAGTATGTTTACGGAAGTGCAGCGTGTTGTTTACTTTAATTACGAGTGCACAAATAATTATCTTTTACAAGTATTTAGTTCCCGTTTTGTGTTCGTATAATGGAATTTGATAACTTTCAGTTGACACAGGATGATCTGTCGTATTTGGACCATTTGGAATTAGAAATTACCAAGAAAAATGACGATATTGTGCCGATTACTGTGTGTGAAAATGTGGATTTTGCTTTTCCATATATTCCTGATATTAGTTCCGATTCTGATAATGAGGATGATTGTTTACAACCAGTGCGTAATAGGAAACGTCACCGTATTGTGTCTGAAACTGAAAGTGAGGATGAAATAATACAGCCGTCGCCTCGCGGTTGTACGTCATCTTCGGGAAACTGGTACTCTCCATCTGGTAATCAACCGAAAATAATACCTTTTACGGAAACGCCAGGTTTGAAGCCTTTTTCTTTACGCCATAGCTTGTCATGTTCTGGTCCAAGTGATTTTTATAGCTTGATGGTACCTGACGATATTTTTGAACGCATAGCGAGAGAAACTAACATATATGCCCAACAACTTATATCGAAAGACACGATAAAAAAGAGTTTCGCAATTGAAAAACTGGACAGACACAAACAAAAGTGAAATAAAAAAATTGTTTGGCCTCATCATGTACATGGGGCTTGTGCGACTACCAAAACTGAGTGACTATTGGTCAAATGACGATATGTTCGGACAACAATATGCTAAAAAAAGAATGAGTCGTAATAGATTTGAATTGCTTTTACGCATGCTTCATTTTTCTGATAATACCCAGGCTACGTCACATGACCGCTTGTACAAAATCAATCAATTTAATGGATCCTGAACGAAATTTGTTGAGCAGGCTTCAGGACAACATTATGCGGCGATGTAACTTGTGCATTCAAGAACGTGGCGCACATTTTGAAATTTTTAAAATTTAGGGTTTCATTAAATTTTGCTACTAATATGCAATAATATTTATTTCGTTCAGTTCCATTTTCGCGAAATAAAAAAGTGGCGGTAAAATATCTAAACAGTTTAGTGAGTAAGTTTTTATTTCGTCGCACATTGTCCAACGAACCATAGGCCGTGCCGACAATCGCCATGCCACCCGCGTGCAACGTTGTCACTCTTCCAAGGGGTCAAGGTACGTTGTCTAAACAGAGTGTTCACTTTTACTGAATTTATTTTAATATTTATTTTGTTAGAAAATTTCACTTTTTTATTTTACGGGTTTTAATTTAATATTTAATTTTTCTAGACTTCTACGGACTAGTATTACTTGTGGTTTCATTTATTGCATATATGTGGGACCCCATTCTGTATATAAAGATTTATTTATCTTGTGTGTGAACTTACACAAGTGATATGCTTATTAAAAATATTGCAAAAATAATAAATAACTTGTTTTTGTGTAAAAATAATTACTAACGGTAAGTTTATAGTTTATTGATGTATAATAACTTATTTTATTTTCTTTTATGATTTTGAACGTTACTTATTTTGTATATTTTTGTATAAACCTGATATGGCACACGGTGCAGCCTTGTAATTTTTGAATAATTTCTATCTCATATGAAACGTCGCACAATATTGACTAAAGACGTTATTGAGCATTTTTGAAATACCTTCAGATAGTGAAGATAGAATGGAACTGTCAGATGAAGTGACAATGAAATACTCAGAATTGGCGAATTAGAACTTCAAGAGCTGGGCCAGTCACCGGAGTTACTCCATGACAATTATTCGAATCAGAATCTTAGTGCCCCAAGAATACAGGATCTTAGTGCCCCCAGCCCACAGAAAACTAATGTGTTGGAGAATTATAATGACTACGTCCAAGCTCAAACTAGTACGTCTGGTCATGTTAGTACGATGACAACATCTCCACGACCAGTTAGTATCTCAGGCCATGGGACCACCCGACGTGACGCTCCTTCAAGGTCCTGTATAAGAATTATTAGGGCAACCAAACCTCCTGTGAAACCTGCAAGAAACAAACGCAGTTACATACGGCGTAAGGTATGCTTCCAACCATCTACTGCATTTACTGGTGATGAGAACGTTAAGCAACCATTCCTTAGTTTTGATTCACCCCTGAAATACTTTATATATTTTTTGAATCTACAAAATATGGTATACAAGAAGATCCCTCGAAGCCCTCTCTCTCGAAGATATCTCTTATAATAGGTCTCAAACCAATTCCCAACGTGCGCATGTATTGGAACAATGAAATGGGGCTGACATCGATATATAATACTATGGCGCTTAAATATTTTGAAAAATTAAGAAGTAATATGCATTTTAACAATAATCTAAACTGTAAACCAAGAGGAAAAGCAGGGCATGTTAGACTTTTTCATATAAAACCTATTTTAGAAACTTTAAAGAAAAAATGTCAAAACATTTTCAAAGGAGAAACTCTTTCAGTCGACGAACAAATGTGCGCTACGAAATCTTGCAACTTCTTACACCAATATCTCCCTATAACACAAGTGATGATATAAGTTATTGGTTTTGCTTATGACTTTGAAATATATTCATGCAAGTTGTAATATCGTGGTGCGTTTATGTCCTTCTGTTCCAAAAATCAAATGTATAACATATTTTTCGATAATTATTACACTTCACCAGAATTGCGTATTTATCAAAGTTAGGGATTCACTAGTTGGGCATTGTAAACAAAGATCGTCTAGGGACAAATATTATATTACCGTCTCATTAAGAGTTGTTAAAAGCAAAGAAAACTCATGGTTATTCGGAAGAATGGACAGCCATCGTAGGTGGGGTACCAATAACTGCAGTGATGTAACTAGATAATAAACCAGTGGTTCTTTCAGCAATTCAGCGTTTTTTAAAAAGTCAAAACGTTACATAAACTTCTAGTGCCCCAATATTATTCGACAGTATAACCATGACATGGGCTTGGTTCTTTTATTGGGAAGCATAAAATTAAAATGCGCACACGAAAATGGTATAAGCGCTTATTTTACCATTTCTTGGATGTCATGATTATCAATAGTTGGATGCTATGCACAAGAGTTCAACAGCAGAAAGGAAACGTAGGGGAGAAGAAACTTCGTGAATTAAGGCTAGAATAGGGGAAAGCTCCTTCGTCTATCTGGACCCTCACTTATACGAAAAAGGGGCCGTCCGTCAACATCATTGGCAAATAAGCTTGAGGAGCGAAAAAAAATCTAAAGCTATCGTGCCACCGAAATAATCGAGAACAGACGGCATTGAGCACTTTCCACATTGGGAGATTCCACAGTAGCAGAATTTCCCAGGATAGCGTCGGTAAAATGGAAAACGGAACCCACATTTAACATTTTCGGACCATTTTGGGGCAGAAATCACTTTTTGTTTGGTTGAATTTGGCCTAATTCAGCCTCCAGTCCGAAAGTGATAACCACTACTTCATTTATAAAATAAACATAAACAGAATATATATAACAAGACTCGACGAACTTAATTCTTACATTGACAACAAGCACCCAAACGCGAAATACTAGACGGCAAAGGTTCAGTTTTGAAATGGCTACACACTCCAGCGCAAGACTCCGTATGCTTTAGAATGCGAAAGCAAAACGACTCACGGCGAAATCACTGGAGCAGGTATTAATTAGGTTTTCGTTTTTTTTAGGGGTTCGGATTCATCTTGCATCATCAAGGACCCGTTCCAGGACCCGCTCCAGGACTTGTTCCTGGACCGGTTCGAGCAACCGTACCAGGTTCCGCTTTTCTTCTGAAGGAGAATTGTATTTGATCGGAGACCATTTTGATTATTTGTCAATGCACCAAGGAATTTTAAAAGTGAATCTAACCGTTGAATATCCTGCATATATGTATCCCATTATACCACTTTGTAAAAAGTGTGTAAAGAATAGTTGTGTGAACTATAAAGTTATAAAAATAATAGATAATTTATTCCCTACAGATATTTCTCAGAGCTTTAAAGATAATTTCTACTGTATGATGTGTAAGCGAAGATTATTTGTTTCACGTTTGTTTGTATGCAGATTAAATAAAACGTGCTGTGCGATTGATTGTTTATTTATAAACGATTGATTGTTTATTTATAAACGATCATCTACATATCAGCCATTATTTTTCATATTTTCTCTTAACCATATATTTGTGTTTGTTAAAGTGCTACTACCAAGTAGCGTTTGTTAGACTCTTAGCTGAGGACACAAAATCGATCAACATCAGCCATCCTTTTATCTCAGTGGATATTGAACACATTTGCGTCCCAGATGAAATAAAGCTACAACAACCAGAACTTGCACCAATCCAGCTCAATAACATCCAACTCAGTTAGAGACCAAATAAAAAAAACACATAAAATTACTTGAAGAAAATAAATCTAATTTCTTAGAAAAACATGTAAAAAAAATTCTATAATAAGTACGATTACTGACATTATTATTCTTACATATTATTGTTATAAATGCTTGTCGTGGAATAACATGCCCACAAATTCACATGGTAACATGACATTGCTTTGACCGTTCACGTCGCCGACAACACCTCGAGATTCCCATATCATCCCTAAACACCACCGCTACAAAATCCTGTATATCATAAAATGAAGACGAACCTGCTGACTACTTTCAGAAATCAAGAAAACCCACTCAATCTTTCTTCTATGGAGGGAGGTGTTATGTCATAGGTACTATGGTTATGTTATAGATACTTTTTACTTTATACTATGTTACAGGTCCTATATACTTTATATTGTTTATTTACTTAAAAGCTAAATTATATTGGTGACTTACTTAGAAGCCAAACTAATTAGATTATAATATATATAAATTACGTGTCACGTTGTTTGTCCGCGATGGACTCCTAAACTACTTAACCGATTTTAATCAAATTTCCACACCGTCTGCAGTTTGGTCTAACTTGAGAGATACTATAGTTTTTAGCCCATGAGTGACCCACAATTTACTTTTGCGAATTTAAGGATTTTTAATAAGATATGACAAATTATCGTCGAAAAGGGCAGAACAACGTCTGCCTGGCAAGCTAGTTAGATTATAATATTTAAATGCTAATGTTTATTGTTCCAAAGTATGCCATTCCTATTGTACCTTATAATAAGTTAACAATAACACAAACAAGAATAATGTTGTTCCCTTATCTAACCCTAACCTAACCCCTAACCTAACCGCCCGTCCCTTCCTCACCGTCGTAGCTTCCTACACTATTTAAACAAAATCCTTCGGTCCCTCAAAAAAATTCTATTAGCAAGTTCTCTGTATCTATATTTTAAGTTAGTTTAAAAGTATTAAATAAATTTATTCAAAAAAAGTTTTTCTCCCACATACCACGTCTTCTAAATAAAGATAGTAAAATAAATCTGCTAAGACGATTTGTTGGTGAAATATGGTGTTCAAAGTCATGAAAATTATGATCCTTCGGATT